GTTTTTGGTGTGAGTTACCATCATCTGAATACTGCACCTTCTTTCATTAGGAAAGAAAGCTCCTGGACAGGAGCATCATTTTATTAAGCAGCACATAATGCTCACTGTAGTACAGACAGCAGCACAGTTATCATGCTCTATTTCACAGCATTAAAAATGAGCTATTCTCCAGGAGAAATCTTCCTATCAAAGATTCAAACACCACAGGCTTCGATGCTGTCAAAAGAGATTATTTTAATTTTTGATATGCCTCTAAGTAGTCCAAGACTTTACAAGTCACAATGGAAAGTGAATCAGACTTTGATTCCTGAAGGAAGCAGAAGTCCCAGAAGAGTCCAAGTGAAGGGAGGTTTGGAAGACTCTTCCCAGAGCCCAGCCACGATCCACAGAGGAGAGAACACATTTCAGATGACTCAGTGCTTCTCTACCTGAATACTGAAATGCAGGAGGAAAGAAAGGAAAAAGAGGGATTTCTGAGACTGAGCCTTTCAAGTTTGATCTCTGAAGATGCAAAGCTCTCCCTGGTAGGACAAGGACCACACACAGACCAAACATGCTCTTGGAGCCTCCAGCAGCCACCCATTCTGAGTCTCAATTCTGTCACTGATTTACGTGAAGAGCTTTTGTGCTCTCAGGCTGAAATTCTCCACTGGACACCAAGGAGTGGGCGCCAGTGTCACTGTGCTCTGTCCCCCTGCAGCAAGCAGCCACAGACAGTGCCCAGCCCCAGGGTGCCACCCCTGGCTGCTGCACAGGACTCAGAGCAGAGCACAAACCAGGCACACTCCTCGTTCCTGCTGTCAGAACCGTCCCTCACTGGGGTCTGAAGAGTGAGAGAGTTTGGTCACAGCAGAAAAGGCAAGAGTAGCTGCTCTAAGAGGGGTTTTACTTCTCCAGGAGTGAGAGGCAGATCATGGGGAACGAAGCCCCTCTCCCCCACTCTCCCCCAAAAAGGAGAAGCAGAACATATGCACACAGCCCACTGATTTCTGCTGAGGTGGCCCAAAGCCAGCATATAAAGCAGCCTGGGAACAGCTCTGAGAGCACATCTCAATTAATACCATGGGAAACAATGCTACAGACATTTGCAGTTTTAGGGCCAGGAATAAAGCAAAAAGAGCTGGAAATGACATTGTCCCCTCAGTGCACATCCCAGGACCCATAAATGAGCCTTCAGCAGCACTTCCCAAGGGGAGCTGAGATCCTGGGGAGGTGTTCCACAGAGCTGAGCCCTCAAGACACAGAGGCTGACCCTGAGCTGAGACACAGACTTGGAACAGGAGATGGGGCAGGTGCTGTCCTTGTCCCCTTTTGCTTCTGCCACTGAGCCAGCCCATCCAAATCCGTGCAGCCCCTCCTGCATGGGCTCCCGGTGGCACACAGCAGAGGAGGAGGAGGAGGAGGAGGAGGAGGAAGAGGAGGAGGAGGAGGAAGAGGAGGAGGAGGAGGAGGGGGAGGAGGAGGA